CAATCAGAGCAGGGTGTTCAATCAGAGCAGGGTGTTCAATCAGAGCAGGGTGTTCAGTCAGAGCGGGGTGTTCAGTCAGAGCAGGGTGTTCAATCAGAGCAGGGTGTTCAATCAGAGCAGGGTGTTCAGTCAGAGCAGGGTGTTCAGTCAGAGGAGGGTGTTCAATCAGAGCAGGGTGTTCAATCAGAGCAGGGTGTTCAGTCAGAGCGGGATGTTCAATCAGAGCAGGGTGTTCAATCAGAGCAGGGTGTTCAGTCAGAGCGGGGGGTGTTCAGTCAGAGCAGGGTGTTCAGTCAGAGGAGGGTGTTCAGTCAGAGCAAGGTCTTCAGTCAGAGTGGGGTGTTCAGTCAGAGTGGGGTGTTCAGTCAGAGCGGGGTGTTCAATCAGAGCAGAGTGTTCAATCAGAGCAGGGTGTTCAGTCAGAGGAGGCTGTTCAGTCAGAGGAGCTGTCAGTCTGTTTTAGGTCTGCTGTGTGTCTGCTGTGGGTCTGCTGTCTGTCTGCTGTCAGTCTGCTATCAGTCGGCTGTTTGCTGTCAGGCTGCTGTCAATCGGCTGTCAGTCTGCTGTCAGTCTGTTGTTGGTCGGCTGTCAGTCTGCAGTCAGTCTGCTATCAGTCTGCTGTCAGTCTGTTGTCGGTCTGCTGTCTGTCGGCTATCAGTCTGCTGTCAGTCTGCTATCAGTCAGCTGTCAGTCTGCTGTCAATCTGCTATCAGTTGGCTATCAGTCTGCTGTCAGTCTGCTGTCAGTCTGCTATCAGTTGGCTGTCAGTCTGTTGTCGGTCTGCTATCAGTCTGCTGTCAGTTTACAGTCCGTCTGCTATCAGTCGGCTGTCAGTCTGTTGTCGGTCTGCTATCAGTCGGCTGTCAGTCTGCAGTGAGTCTGCTATCAGTCAGCTGTCAGTCTGTTGTCGGTCTGCTATCAGTCTGCTGTCAGTTTACGGTCAGTCTGCTATCAGTCTGCTGTCAGTCTGCAGTCGGTCTGCTATCAGTCTGCTGTCAGTCTGCTATCAGTCTGCTGTCAGTTTACGGTCAGTCTGCTATCAGTCGGCTGTCAGTCTGCCGTCAGTCTGCTATCAGTCGGCTATCAGTCTGCTGTCAGTCTACTATCAGTCTGCTGTCAGTCTGCAGTCAGTCTGCCGTCAGTCTGCTGTCAGTCTGCTATCAGTCTGCTTTTAGGCTGCTGTCAGTCTGCTATCAGTCTGCTTTTAGGCTGCTGTCAGTCTGCTATCAGTCTGCTGTCAGTCTGCTATCAGGCTGCTATCAGTCTGCTGTCAGTCTGCTATCAGGCTGCTGTCAGTCTGCTGTCAGTCTGCTATCAGTCTGCTTTTAGGCTGCTGTCAGTCTGCTTTCAGTCTGCTATCAGGCTGCTGTCAGTCTGCTGTCAGTCTGCTTTCAGTCTGCTATCAGTCGGCTGTCAGTCTGCTGTCAGTCTGCTATCAGTCGGTTGTCGGTCTGTTGTCGGCCTGCTGTCAGTCTGCTATCAGGCTGCTGTCAGTCTGCAGTCAGTCTGCTATCAGTCGGCTGTCAGTCTGTTGTCGGTCTTCTGTCAGTCTGCTGTCAGTCTCCTCCCAAGTCTAAATGTCAAATGTTTTGCTGCTCTGCTTGTTTTCTGTCACCCTCCTTCACTCTAACAGCTTAATCCGCACAGAGAGGCTCTGAGAAAGTGAATAAAATCTTTTTAATTTCTTACCTTTTCCTCAGGACTTAAAATATAATCTGGAGGAGATTCTTTCTTTGTATGTCCAGACTGTAAATGGAAACTTCACCTTGGTGTCTGCCAGCCTTTATTAGTCCTCCTGTCGTTCTCCTCCAGCACGCCTCTAACCCCTCCCAGCCTTCTTTCCCCAGGTGACTGTATCTGACCCAACCTGCTGGACAGGTGCGGCATCTTGCTGCAGGTCCGCCTTTTTCCAAACGCTCTCTTATCTGCCTTCATCATCTGCATGGGAGCAGGTGAAACTCACCGTTCAGAGCAACAGTCATGTGTCGGGGAAGATCAACACAACCTGAACAGACCTCACAGGTTTGATGAGCCCCGGTTTGGACCTGCTGCTGGCCCACAGGCTGCAGAGATTATTAATCCCACTAAAGCCAACTGAACCAGTTCCACTGACAA